AAAAAAAATCGTTTTTTAAAATTTTATCTTAAAATGCAGGTAGGCCTATAAAACATGTGAGTGTAATTAAAGGTTTATATAATTTACTGGTGGAAGGGACTCGTTGGGGGGGGGGGGTTACGGTCCACGGTGAAAACGAGATGGTGGCTTCTAAGTCATAATCAACTCAAGCACCCACACATTTTTTACGATTCGTTTATTCATTATTTAGAATTAGAAGGGACTGAAAGTAAGGAATATAAATCAAAATTGGTAGTCAATTAAGATATAACTATCCACTAGCGAGGTAATTAGTATCACTCCACTTCCGCGTTGTCGATGTAAACAAATACTGACTGGGTCAGCTATTAATAAAGCACACACAAAAAAAAAAAATTTTTAAAATCGGGACAAATAAAACCACTAACCAGCACCAGGATGACAGTCACAAGTAAGGAGTGCGAAAGTTTCAGGATTTCAAACAGTGGTGTAATAAGGTCTCGTAACCTTATGCCTTATAAGCCAGTTAAGGTCTTTCATATTTCCAGTGTCCAGTGCTTGTACTTATTATTGTAATACTTGTAACTTGTAATTGTAGTGTTATGTTTTACGGCAATTTTGTTAGCCTTGATTCTTGATCTTGGATTTTTGTATGTACTGTACTGCCCTACGGTCGACGTTGTAAATTACAGTAAGACATCATATTATCATATTGTTAAATTTTTAATTGTCATTGATATGATTATGATTAAACATTAGTAATTTTAGGTATACTGTAATTTAGTAATTTTAATAGTTAAATTGATGTTAGGTGTTTTTGTAAGTTACTAACACTTAATAACATCATCATTTATTAGCATATCATCAAGCATCACCTATTAAGCCTATTATATTATTATTTAATTATTTAGAGTCTAAGTTAGAATTAGACTAATCTTGTATTAGTAATTAGTATAAAGTATTAACTATTAACCTATCTAGCCTAGTCAAAATTAGTAAATAATCTGAACAGAAATGCTCTACGTCTAAGTCGACTAAGTCTAAGTCATCCTTATTTCTATTTTCTTTTAATAGCACTAATGAATGACACTTTGGTTTGATTTACTTTTAATATTTCATCATTTATACTAAATTATAGAAATATGGAGAACTTGGACTTGGAGTTTATTCCTGGAAATGAAGAGGATGCTGACAAGTCTGGTGAAATAAAAATTGATGGTGCAAATTTAGTCAACATTTTGGCTCTGCAAGAAGATCCCAACTTTAAGGAGCATGAAGTATCCAGGGTCAGTGTCTTGGATTTTGGAGATGAATGCTTCTTGCTAAAAAATGTACATACTGTACAAGAGTGCAACCATTTCATCCAAGAAGGAGAGAAATTGGGGTTTGAGGAAATGCTTTACTCCCGTGACGATTACAGGAGCTCTCAGAGGTGATGTGGCATATTTTAAGATGTATTTCTGTGATACAGGTTTCACATTGAATGATATTTCTAATTATTTAATAGATATAACTTAATCATATTTTTCATCTACATTAAATTAACTGCAGAAACGGGCGGGGGTCATTCTTAATTGGAATAAGGAAATGTCATCATTTTTTTTTATTGAAACAAACATAATTAAAGTTGATGATGCAAATGCAACTGAAACCTCACAAATAAAGTTTTAATCAACTGTCCCATTTAAGTTAATGTATAAGAATCTCTTTTTGTGTTAAACTAATATAACTTTGCATTTTTAACTTAGGCTGTCATTTCAAAGCTCTGAGCTTTCTATGGTGATATGGAGGCGCTTACATAAACACTTAAAACCCATCGTGATTGATCAAGACCCTCAAAACTTACACATTGAAGGAGTCCCTTTGTTGATGCAAGGAACATGGATTCCCAAGGGTTTAAACAATGTAATTCTGAAATAATTATTCTTCCGGGCACAATTCTTTTATGTGAGCAGTCTTTTAAACCCCTTTCTGTCCAACGAACACTTAATTTCATTTTTTTTTTCAAATTCTACATACAAACACATAAAGTCTGTATTATTTATGACCTACCCAAAACTACCCCTCAATTGAGTAATCATGTCAGTGCACACCAGGGTGTCACCTGGGACTTTTTATGTAAGAAGGGAGAACTCTGCTTTGAAATGTTACAAAGATAAATATGTTTTAAAATTTCCTATATTTCCAACATTACTTTTAATTTGTTAATATTTTTTGCATTAACATAAATTCTAAGTGACAAAAATATTTGAATTGTCAAGTTGCACAAAATTTATGTGCTATTTTAAAAATGGCTAAAAATTATTTCTTTATAATGTCAAATATTGAAGACTTTGTAGTCTTTCTGGTTTAATGGCTCAGATGCAATATCCCCCCTGTACTATTTATAATCTAAACCACTTCAACCTCATACACCTACCACTTTTTGTACATTGCTGAAATCTGAACAAGAGATGCCCACTATTTTATTCAGTCTCATACTGCTGTATGTTGTAACAATTCATTGACTATCACTGAAAAAAAATGCTCCTTTTAAATTTATTGGACACACACAAAATGTTTATTTCTTTACAAAAAAAAAATCTCTCTTTTTTTAAATGACATCTGGAACAAAACAAATATCAGCTTGGAATGTGAATTATGTTTATGTTAAAATTGCATTGGAAGATGAATTGAGTTTAACCTTTTCACGACCTATGACGTCGACGTGACGTCACGATCACCCACTTTCAATGACCAAGGACTCACATTGTCGTCATACAAAAGAGGCAAAGAACTTTTCTGAAATACCAAGGACGTCACATCGACATCATATTTCAATGCTATACATTTCTTTATTCGTTAATCTATAGAGAAATTAAAAGCGAATTGGATAGAGAATTAAAAAATACCAAAAATTTCTACGTTTTAAGTTTTGTATTGCCAAGTCAGCAAAAATCGATGCCAAAACCAGCAGCAATGAAAGGGTTAAATAGCATCAGATGGAAAAGTTTACTACTATTTTATGCTAAAATGAGTAAAATGATAAACTTGTTTTGTTTTAATTAAGGGTTTAAAGTATCTTGAGAATAAGATAAGATAAGATTCAATATTGATCCAAATAAATGGAAATGGTTTTTTTATTACATTGTACATATTCATTTTCAGTACATAAATAAATAGGTTACCATATTATTTAAACCAAGACAACACTTTGCACAATTAAACACAAGACATCCAATGTAAGTCTCTAGCATGGAAATCAGCTGTAAATGAACTCCTTTAGTGACAATAATAACTTATTAGTGATCATTTAGATTTTTAAAAAATATTAACTATCTTTTGTTGCAGATTTTTCGACTTGCACGATACAAACCTGGTGGACACTTTGCACCACATAATGATGGATTTTTTGTGAGGTCAGCCACACAACGTTCGCTACAGACATTCATGGTATATCTGAATGGCAGCTTTTCAGGGGGAAGCACAAATTTTGTCGATCCATCTCAAAAATTATATAAGGTACTGGTACTAATCATTGTGACTTATCTTTATTTTCAATCTTTCTTCTTCCATACCGGTACTTTTGTAAGCAATCTTGATAACCTAAGCTAATACTAAATACGGTTCTAAATTCACTAGTTATAAATTATGAAATGAATTTTTAGTGATAGCGTATAAAGCAGTATTAAGAAGTCTGATAATTGGTTTTTCATTTTATTTTTACTTAAGCAATTTAAATAGTTAACATATTTTTAATAATTGTAAAGCACTTAGAGCTGTAAGATAAGCGCTATACAAAAATGCCTAAATAATAATAATAATATAAATTTACTTTGACATTGCATGCAGGGTCCTGATGGGAAATATTGTGCTGAAGAAAAAAACATTCTGTGTCGTGTACAACCAGAATCTGGCCTGGCAATTATTTTTAACCATAATCGGCTGCATGAAGGTGAAAAATTGAGGTATGTCAAGATAAGTCAGATAAGTAAATGAAAAAAAGAGTGTTGTAGAATATTTACGTAACGTTGTATATTTTTTATGGCTATTTCTACAAATTTCATACAATTCTGTAAATTTTTTTATGGCTATTACTACATACCAGTAACATTGATTTTGAAGTGTCGGTATGTATCTTTTTATAGCTATTACTACTATTGGTACATATTTATTTAATTTATGTGCTGAAAATGTATATGTACAATGCAATCAAAGTATTGATTTCAAAGTATATATCTTTTTCTTTTCCTTAGGAATGGGGTGAAGTACATTCTACGAACAGATATCATGTTTGAAAATATTTCACCTCAAGGTGTGACAGAAAAACAGTCACAGGCAATGCTGTTGTTACAAGATGCTGATAGGCTGGAGGTAAACAGAATTACACTTGAAAGTTATCAGAATTTACCCTAATGAATTATGACTATTTATTTATTTAGGCATTTTTATATAGCGCTTATCATAAAGCTCTAAGCGCTTTACAATTATTAAAACATGTAAACTAAGTAAATACAAATGAGACACTAGGATAGTAACTACTATTCTATAGAAACAATGAAAATGGCTAACAACCCGAAACAGAAAATGAGGTAGGGCAAGGAGGGTGCATCACAGGTCATAGGCGGACCTAAACAGATGAGTTTTAAGGGACTTTTTGAAAATGGACGAGGTTTCACTATGACGTATATGGAAGGGGAGCTGCTTCCAGAACGTGGGCCCATTTCCTATTTCCTGGGTTTTCATTCCATAAAGCTCAAACCTCAAAAATTTTTCAAAAAAGATTTTGTTTCAATATCAAGTTGGCCTATTGGTAGCAGATAAATTGGTACCAGTACAGTAATTCAGTTTACATATGAAGGGTTCAAGGGAAAAAACCAGTGATGTCAGGTTTTGAGAGTTTTGAGAAAAATTTATAATAAAGTTTGAAAATTCCTCATGAAAGTATTAAAATGTCAAAATATTTATTTATTGACAAGGCTGCTTTTTCAGTGAGGCCTATGTGTCATATTATTCTATTGAATGGAATGTAGCAACACAGGAGATAACTTGCAAATTCTGAAAAACTGATGTTACTGGTTTTTCCCCTTGAACCCTTCAAATGTGTTAGGTGCATTAGGCTGGGGTTTAAATTCGACAGATGTGGTTAGTACCTTTGTGGGAATTTTTTAATTCAACAAAATTCTGTGAAAGTGATTGCAATATTTTATGTCTCCAGGCAGCTGGTAAGTGTATGGAGGCAATGCAGTTATTTAGGAAAGCTTACAAAATGTGCCCAGAACTGGAACAGCAGTAATTGGCTGCCTGACCATTTAGTAACTGCCTCATCCTTTGAAACTTAATGGATGAAAATATGACTGCGATTCACTGTAAATTAACTTCTCCTCACTCCTGTATTTTATTATTTGTAAATTGAACTTCACCTCACTCCTTAATTTTCTCATTGTAATATTTGTAAATTAAACTTCACCTCACTCCTGTATTTTATTATTTGTAAATTGAACTTCACCTCACTCCTTAATTTTCTCATTGTAATATTTGTAAATTGAACTTCACCTCACTCCTTAATTTTCTCATTGTAATATTTTTAAATTGAACTTCACCTCACTTCTGTATTTTTTCATTTTTAATTTGAACTTCACCTCAATCCTGAATTTTCTCATTGTAAATTGAACTATAACTCAATCAATAAAATTTACTTCACAAGTATTACTGACTTCTTGGTATTTGTGAAAGAGACTTATTAAATTATTTTATCTTATATCTAAATTTATTTATAAGTGGTCAAATGTAGTTTTGACAGCACTCTTCATTTGGTAGATTTCACATTACCACTACCAGTATTTCAATTAGCTCTACTAGTACCAGTTCCTTGAGAATGTGATAAGCAATTTTTAATGATTTTTAAACACAATTATATCAATAAAAAAAAATGTAAAATAAAATATGAATAATTTGTAAGTTTATGCATGATTAATTCCTCTTTATGATTATTGTAATAAAATTGTTTATGTGGAAAGGAAAAAGTGACTTATTTGTGCTACCCCATCTAAAATTTGAGTATATTGTTCAGATTATTATTATTAATTTGTATTTAGCAACATAAGAACAATAACGCTACAGTAGTTTATAACAAAAAAACACCGTACTGGTATATAAAGAAAAACACTAAATCCATTAAGATGACTTTAAATCAATAGAATTTTTAATCACTACCGGGTAATTGTACAAAACATAAATAAATTAATGGCGTACATTTCCATTTCAGCTCAGGTCTTGAGTACCGGTACTGTATATTGCTTTTCTGGGGAAAGAGATTTAATATAAGTTAAATACCAGTGTATGAGCTTTAAAATCTCAACTTTTTATAAGTTCCTGCAATACGGATTCTAAAATTTTTTTATTAGTTACCGGTTGTTAAAAAAAAACACCTTACCTTCTTTCCTCATTGATGTTGAGATACCCTGACAATTAGGCTGCATCCCATTTCTTCAACAAAACCAGTCACAGAATGATGGTCCATTTCTTCTCAAGTCCACATCAACAAACACACAAGTCAATCAATTTTCTTGGCCTAAGAAACGTCTCCATTGCACCTGGAAAATATGCTGTTAACAGACTCCCACTATCATACATCATCACCCACACTAATATTTATTTAAGTTATAGTGCATATTGTTAAATGTATCACACTACAGTTCTTCACTTTTCTAAAAATAGAAATTCATCTTTTAGAAAACATACATGGGAGTTCACTCCTAGTCCTGTCCCATCTTGCTGAACAATTTCTTTGATGGAAATGGAATCTTTTACATCATCCTCTATGTCTCACTGTGTCTAGTCCATCTGCAGATTATATTCAGTTCCATATCTCCTCTGCTCATTCATCTTGACTATCCCTTACATATTGGCTTCGATATGTTTCTCCAACAATACCAAACGCGGCATGATGATTCATCCCTTGTGGGAGACCACATCAACAAACAAACAAGTCCCTCAATGTTCTGGCCTAAGAAATATCCACTTTTAAACCTGGAAAATATTCTTTAAATAAAAAAACACACCCACACATATTCCTCTCCCATTCAAACAAAAAAATGTTCAAGGTTAAGTTTAACATTAACTATAAAAATAAAAATAATTTGTTATAGTTCTCAAATGTTTTTTTTTTTAAAGTCTTACATACAGGGGAGTCCTTATGAATATCGTCAGATTCCTCCATAATTTCTTTGTTGGTACCATTTACGTCGTTCTCTGTCTCTCTTTGCATGAGTGCCATACCTCCTCTCCTAATTGATGTTGCGATACCCTTACACTTAGGCTGCATCCCATTTCTTCAACAATACCAGTCACAGTATGATGGTCCATTTCTTTTCAAGTCCACATCAACAAACATACAAGTCAATCAATTTTCTTGGCCTAAGAAACGTCTCCATTGCACCTGGAAAATATGCTGTTAACGGACTCCCACAATCATACATCATCACCCACACTAATATTTCTTTAAGCTATAGTGCATATTGTTAAATGTATCACACTAATGGCTCTTAGCCAGTTCTTTACTATTTTAAAAATAGAAATTCATATTTTAGAAAACATACATGGGAGTTCACTCCTAGTCCTGTCCCATCTTGCTGAACAATTTCTTTGATGAAAATGGAATCTTTTATATTCAGTTCCATACCTCCTCTGCTCATTCATCTTGACTATCCCTTACATATTGGCTTTGACATTTTTCTCCAACAATACCAAACACGGCATGATGTTTCATTCCTTTTTGGAGACCACATCAACAAACACACAAGTCCCTCAATGTTCTTGGCCTAAGAAATGTCCACTTGTGAACCTGGAAAATATTCTTTAAAAAAAACACACCCACACATATTCCTCTCCCATTCAAACAAAAAAATGTTCAAGGTTAAGTTTAACATTAACTATAAAAATAAAAATAATTTGTTATAGTTCTCAAATGTTTTTTTTTTTAAATTCTTACATACAGGGGAGTCCTTATGAATATCGTCAGATTCCTCCATAATTTCTTTGTTGGTACCATTTACGTCATTCTCTATCTCTCTTTGCATGTAGTCCATCATCTGCAGATTATATTGAGTGCCATACCTCCTCTCCTAATTGATGTTGCGATACCCTTACAATTAGGCTGCATCCCATTTCTTCAACAATACCAGTCACAGTATGATGATCCATTTCTTTTCAAGTCCACATCAACAAACACACAAGTCAATCAATTTTCTTGGCCTAAGAAACGTCTCCATTGCACCTGGAAAATATGCTGTTAACGGACTCCCACAATCATACATCATCACCCACACTAATATTTCTTTAAGTTATAGTGCATATTGTTAAATGTATCACACTAATGGCTCTTAGCCAATTCTTCACTTTTCTAAAAATAGAAATTCATCTTTTAGAAAACATACATGGGAGTTCACTTCTAGTCCTGTCCCATCTTGCTGAACAATTTCTTTGATGAAAATGGAATCTTTTACATCATCCTCTATGTCTCACTGTGTCTAGTCCATCTGCAGATTATATTCAGTTCCATACCTCCTCTGCTCATTCATCTTGACTAAGTCTCACTGTGTCTAGTCCATCTGCAGATTATATTCAGTTCCATACCTCCTCTGCTCATTCATCTTGACTATCCCTTACATATTGGCTTTGACATTTTTCTCCAACAATACCAAACACGGCATGATGATTCATTTCTTTTTGGAGACCACATCAACAAACACACAAGTCCCTCAATGTTCTTGGCCTAAGAAATGTCCACTTTTGAACCTGGAAAATATTCTTTAAAAAAAACACACCCACACATATTCCTCTCCCATTCAAACAAAAAAATGTTCAAGGTTAAGTTTAACATTAACTATAAAAATAAAAATAATTTGTTATAGTTCTCAAATGTTTTTTTTTTAAAGTCTTACATACAGGGGAGTCCTTATGAATATCGTCAGATTCCTCCATAATTTCTTTGTTGGTACCATTTACGTCGTTCTTTGTCTCTCTTTGCATGTAGTCCATCATCTGCAGATTATATTGAGTGCCATACCTCCTCTCCTAATTGATGTTGCGATACCCTTACACTTAGGCTGCATCCCATTTCTTCAACAATACCAGTCACAGTATGATGGTCCATTTCTTTTCAAGTCCACATCAACAAACACACAAGTCAATCAATTTTCTTGGCCTAAGAAACGTCTCCATTGCACCTGGAAAATATGCTGTTAACGGACTCCCACAATCATACATCATCACCCACACTAATATTTCTTTAAGCTATAGTGCATATTGTTAAATGTATCACACTAATGGCTCTTAGCCAGTTCTTTACTATTTTAAAAATAGAAATTCATATTTTAGAAAACATACATGGGAGTTCACTCCTAGTCCTGTCCCATCTTGCTGAACAATTTCTTTGATGAAAATGGAATCTTTTACATCATCCTCTATGTCTCACTGTGTCTAGTCCATCTGCAGATTATATTCAGTTCCATACCTCCTCTGCTCATTCATCTTGACTATCCCTTACATATTGGCTTTGACATTTTTCTCCAACAATACCAAACACGGCATGATGTTTCATTCCTTTTTGGAGACCACATCAACAAACACACAAGTCCCTCAATGTTCTTGGCCTAAGAAATGTCCACTTGTGAACCTGGAAAATATTCTTTTAAAAAAACACACCCACACATATTCCTCTCCCTTCAAACAAAAAAATGTTCAAGGTTAAGTTTAACATTAACTATAAAAATAAAAATAATTTGTTATAGCTCTCAAATGTTTGTTTTTTTAAATAGTCTTACATACAGGGGAGTCCTTATGAATATCGTCAGATTCCTCCATAATTTCTTTGTTGGTACCATTTACGTCATTCTCTATCTCTCTTTGCATGTAGTCCATCATCTGCAGATTATATTGAGTGCCATACCTCCTCTCCTAATTGATGTTGCGATAC